TTGTCACTTATGTTATATATCTTATGCTCTCGCAATTGCTTTTTCTTATTTTTTTTTGTAAAATGTAGGTATCCCACTTGGTTATCCAGTCACTAAAGTCAGTCGTTGTAAAATAAAATGTACTTTAAAAAAAGCATGGTTTGTACTAACAGTAAAGTTTCTGCTTATATCTTTGGTATTAAAAGCTTTTCCTTGCTTCTAACTTTTTGACCATTGTATATAGTTAAGAATATAAATTCTCTTTTTTCTATGCTATAAATGTTATTGACTCGGTTTCGGTTCAAAATAATGACAGTGCTCAGTGTCAGGAGTGTAACATCTTGTACTTTTACTGATTTCCTTATTGCATATAAGGTGTTATATTAATATATTCTTTCTTTTTCAAAAACATGAGTCCAAGTGATGTCAGCAGTGACATTAGTTCAAGTTAACTAAATCATGCACTTTCTGTACATGATGATCAGTGATGTCAGGAGTGTAACACTATTTTTGCCATCTTTTAACCTTGTAACGATTTCATGAATATACCATATAAATTTCGTATCTAAATATGATTCTTGCCACTATTCATAAGGGAAAGTAATTAAGTATTTGTTTTTTGTTGTTTTTTTTAAGAAACCACAATGCTTAAGTTCTGTTTTTAGTATATTTACTTAAATACCATCATTTCCTAAATGTCTACTATTGACAAGTATAATCATTGAAATTTAATGATAGTACACTAAAGAAATTACTGAGAAATTAAAATCATGTATATACTCTTTGCAGAACAAAGCATTTATATACAATTATTGAAGATTAAGTATGCAATATGAGTAAAATACAGTATGTGAGAATAGTGAAAAGTGTTACACTCCTGACATTTTTTTCTTTTTCGGCAATTGTAGTTAACTTTGTTTTATTTTCAGCAGACTTATAAACAATTGAAGTAGATATAAAAAAAAAAAAACACTATAAAACTCATGTAAACAAATATGCCAATTAGTATGATGAGATTTGATATTATTTCTAAACAGTAACCAAGTCAATAACAATAAAGACATACAGTAATTTTTTTTTCATCTATGATAATTACTGTTAATTCTTCAATCAGTTTTGTTATCACATTTTTTGAATGCAGTTCCTGCATATTCAATTTTCAGGTATTGTAGTCCTTAGTCTTTTAAAATACTAACCATTTGAATTCTGCCAAAACACTGCATTTTTGCTCTGCTTTTGCTTAATACCTAACCTTAATAAAGTAGTAGCTAGTAATACTAACAATTGTGAGAGAGAATAACCTGAGAGGTGTGCTTACAGACAGCATTGAGTCTTATATATATATAACAACTCAACAGAGCATAAAAATGAAACTCTAATCGAGTTTGAAAATAAAATTCGCAAAAAAAGGTTGGAAGATTCCAGCTACTACTCCTGATGACGGCAATTGTTTCTTTTGGGCCAGCAGTGATCAGTTACATGCCCTTGGGATGACTCAACAAAGTCACACTCAGTTGAGAAGCAAAGTAATTCATCACATGCAAAGCTTACCAGAGGTATTTATCAAGCTTAGTTTTAAAGTCATGCCTGAAATTCATTTAATTATTAAATTTTTATTTAAAAAACTTGTAATTTTATATTTTTAAATCATAGGTTTAATAAAAAAATACAATTTACAATTTTATTTTTCAGACTGACAAATTGGAATTAGAGCAAATCTTGGCAAGTGACTTAACCAAATATATTGAAAATATGTCAAAGAATGGAGCCTATGCAGGCCATGTGTGTTTACAGAATATGTGGAAAGCCCTGTCTTGCAAAATAAATGTGTTCATGGGGATATTCCTAACATAACCATTGGAGATGGAGACAGTTCCCTACCAACATTGTTGATGGTAACATTCCAGAAATTGAACATTATGTTAGCTTGCAGCGTTTAAATAGGTAAGACAAAATAAATATCTTATATAGAAGGATAAATTAAGCATGTTTCTGTTCTTTGTCAGATGAATTTCAACCAATAATTTTAGAAATGTATCTTTTAAAGACACAGTTAGTATAAACCTTTCAATTATCATATTGCATATTTAACCCTGAAGATTTTGGAGCTGTAGCTCTCAAGTCAAACAGAAGAACATATCTGTACATTGCTGGGTCATGTTGTTTTTTGTATACTTTTCATTAGTTTCCTCAGTAATTTTATGACCTAATTTTAGAACTTGAAATGTGATTGTTTTCTTTTCATTTAATTATATTAACTACTTATTGAATAGGTAATATCACAGGCAGATGATGACATCCAAGTTAGGTTCCTTAAAGCAAGTGGAGGTGCTGACGAGTACAGTTGGCCAGCCAAGGAGGATGTGTCCTGGCAGTCCTTTGAAGATATTGTTCAGACAATTAAAATGACAATTCTTCTTCCTGGGCGCGGAATACCGCTTCAATTTTTAACTTGAATGACTTAAGATCATAGGAATCATATATTTTCAAATAAACAGTTCCAAGTGCACATCTTGTGTCAGGAGTGTAACACAGTTTGAACAGTTCATGTTAAAGTTTGTACTTTATGTAGTTTAAATTTGTAGCTTCTTTTTATCCTTTTATTTAAATAAATGTTCTCTTAAACCAGTATGGTTTTCTACCAGGGGTAGAAAGCAGGTAGAACATATATAAAAAAGAAAATGTTTACACTCAGATGGTTCACATATATATAGTAAAGGTTTGAAAAAGGTCACTTATTTTTTAACAAAGTGTTTTTAAAAAGGCAAGATAAACAAAAAAGGAACAATTATCATAGAAAACTTATACTTGTCTTAAGTATTTCATTAAAAAATATTTTAAATCAATATTTTAAGATATTAAGTCTCTTGCCTGAATGTGTCAGGAGTGTAACACTCAAATGTTATTTAGTGAAATTGTGCATTTTTTTGTGAAATAGATTCTTCATGGTCATTTTGATATTAAATTCCTATTGGTTAGGAACAGAAGCTTAATTAATGTTTATAACCTTTATTTCCATTTTTTTTGCTAATTGTTTACTTGTTAGAAACTTTTGCGGTTTTAAGTGTAACTTCATATCTTTGCTCTAAGAATTATTCTCAAATGTAATAACCTATCAGTATGTTTTCAAACATATTAGTGGTGTTCTGTACATGTGTTTCTTATGTTATTTTTACCTCCAATGTTTCTGTAAAGAACTATTATCATTTAAACAACTTATGCTAGTCATGTCAGGAGTGTAACGCTTTTTTATAAAATACAAGTTAAATTTGACTGCTTATTTTTTTTTTGAGAGAGGTTGAAATATTTGGAAACTTTATTTTACATCAAAGTAATTATTAATACATACTTACAACTACTTTTTTATTTCTCTGCCCAATTTTCTCCAACTTTAGAAAAACTTGATGTTCTTACATTAAAGAAAATCAGACTTTAGTAACAAAACAATAGCATTTTTTTTTTCTGTTGTAAAACTACTGGTAAAAATATGGTATATTTTTTATCCCTACATCACTACTGTTACTAAAATATAACAACACATATGATTTAATTAACATTTGGAAGTATAGTGACACAATTTTATAAAGCATTGGTTTTGTTAATTTTTGTTAATAAGTTGAAATAAAATGTTGATTTATACAATTTGTGTTGTGTTAGATAAAATCCAATTACTCGGCATTAAACAGCAATCAATATCATATGGTTTTAGGTGAAAAATAACTAGAAATATGAAATTTCAATTTTGACCCTATTTTCAAATTTTTGCCTCATTATTTTTGACTTTACCCATATGTATATAATGAAATTCATGAGTCATTTGCTATAGGGGTTGGAGCTCAGATTTTTAGCATGAAACATTGTCTACTGAACCGCTATTAACAGTATTTAATTATATATTTTGGGTCAAATTGGCCCTGCAAGAAGATTCAATAGCTGGGATTTTGTCTTAAATAAGGTCATGGCCTAAGAGAAGTGAACATTAGTTTTCGGAGAATCTTAGGAAATGAGTTGAGGTCATGACTTTTAGGCTTCAGCAAGAGATATGCTTGCCTTGCAGGGATATTTATGAAATGACCTAGCACACTATGGTTCACATCATGTATATAATTGATTAAATGTTTGTTTTGAGAAATAGGTTATGCTTAAATGAAAAGACAAAATTTAAGAAAAATAACCTAACTGTATTTCAAAGTTTAATACAGCTATGTAATGCAGTAAATAACAAAATTCTATTAACAGGGTTCGTACAGTCTTAAAAAGTGCTTAAATTTGAGTCCCTTTCTTAAAAAATGCTTGAAAATGTAAAAAAGTGCTTAAAAGTCCTTTAATTTGCTTACTGTCTTGAAAAGTGCTTAAAAAGTGCTTAAATTTGCTGGAAATATGCTTGAAAATGATTGAATGACATAGTGTCAATAAAAATCAACAGTAAACAAAATCAAAAGAATGATCCAATAAAGGATCAAAATCAATGAAATGTTTGCTCAACATAACAGTAAGTCAGGACAAATTATAGTTCTTTTAACTAATCTGTATTTGATGTGCCCTTTGTTGTTGTTCTATAAAATCCTTAAAATTATGGCCAGAAAATGTGCATTCAACATAAAATGGCAAATAAACTATACTTCTTACATTGAAGATTGTATCGATATATGTGTAGCAAATGTGCTTGAAAAATGGGAAAATGTGCTTAAATAGTGCTTAAAAAGTCCTTGAATTTTGGCATAGGATGTCTGTATGAACCCTGATTAAGTATGAAGACTTATTTTGAAACAAATATTATACTAAGGCCTTTGCATCTTAACATAATTGTATAGAGAAAAAAGTGGCGATTTTGACTTACTGAGATTCAACTGAACTGTATATCTTATTCACGTCAACTTGACAACAAAAAAAAAGAGCATAATGTCACTTAAAAGGAAACAAATGGCTAATTCCCAATTATTTTAGATAGTCAGTGTTAATAAGAATAAAATGGTTGGATAATGGTTTGCAACATTGACTTCTTTTTGCTTGTTTTCCAGACAACAGAACAGGAGCTCAAACAGTTTTTCTCAGCATATGGTGCAGTAAAAGATTCCAAAATTATAGCAGATAGGGCAGGGGTTTCCAAAGGGTAAGTTGAATACTTGGCACAACAAGGATATTTGTAAGGCTGCTGGTCACATTATTACACAGGATTATAAGACAAGACTCTACCAAAAGAAAGATGAGGATTGGCATGTCTGCAGATGAGCCAAAATATTTAAAGAAAGTCAATGTGAGAAAAATGTACTAAGACTAAGGAAAGTAAAAAGATTCAAGACAGTGTTCCCATTCACACACATGTTTACTTGTATTTCCTTGAAATCATAGAAGTTCAGGTACAATAGTAAAAAAGTTATTGAAGGTAAATTGGCACTATTAATCTGATTGTGTTTCCATGACAGTCATAAGATTAAAGCCAATATGGAGAATGTTAGTTACTATTTTTACTCACAACTTGTGTACAAAATGTTTTAAGGAATTTATAGATTTATCACTGCCCACTTTGGGGGAGGGGGGTAGGCATTTAGATTTACCCTTGTCCTTCTCATTTTGTGTCGCACATAGCAGGCATCGCGAAAGTTGTCGGACATGTCCGACAAAAATCAGGCCGGTCCGATATTTTTTCCGAGTTCCGGACCTTATGTCCGGTACGAATATTGGGATATATCCAAGACCGATCAAGACCAAGTTTTCTCCCTTGAATAAAAAAATGTAAAACTAGTTTTGATTCGCTGTTTCATTTTTAGTGTCGAATCAAATTCTAGATACATACAACTTTCGATGATCTTGTACTCGGAAGAAAATGTCGGTGTTACTGCATTATTAAATTATTACGTTGGCGCTACGCCAGGCAAAAAACGTAAATTATCTAATGAAGGAAAAAAGCGAAACAAAAGAAATACGAGTCCAGGCGCCTGCCGAGAAAATTTGTGGGTAAATGGAAAAAAATGGCCGCTCGTGGTTGGTTTTTAAAACGAGGAAGAAAATAAGATGAAATGTACATTGTGTCATAAATTTTTATTAAAGATCATATGATGATGAGATTTTGATCATGAATGTTTTAAATTTCCAGACAGAGTCCATCAATCTGGATAAACTGATGTTTTATTTAAGAGAAAATGTGTTGCAAATCTTTAAAAGTTCCCTATGTCTTTTAAAAAACACAAAGGTATTACCATATACATATATTTGGGAAAAAATTCGGTCAGACAAAAGTTCTTTCGGTCAGACAAGAATTGAAAGTTTGTCTGACCGAATGTCAGGCAAATGTTTCAGCAGTTTCGCGAAGCCTGACATAGCTTAAAAAGTTATTTACCTAGAGTTCCTAAAACTTTTACAGACATGTTGCTTTTCCCGCATGTGAAGTTGTGTGCCTTGGTTTCGCTTGTGAATTTAGGGGCTTTTCCAATTAAGAACTATTGCCCTTGACTTAGTAAAAAATTGCAATTTTCAACTTTGTCACACAAAGCTCAAAAATCTGGGACAGAACTCTGAAACCATAAGAGATATCAACAAAAAACTTTGTTGGTAGATTAATCTCATTGGGGGTAGATGAGCAGTAAAAAAGAATTCTTGGAAAAAAATCGCCCGGTTCAAAGCCGGTTGTTGTTAAATTATATGTTTTTAAGATCAGCGTGAATCTGGAGGCATGTGGGCTGTAAAAGTGGCAGCATCAGCATGTTTGACCAAGGTTCCACAGGTCTTTGAAAATGCATGAAAATGGTCTGTCTTGAAAAGTGCTTGAATAGAGTATGTCCTTAAAAAGGGTTTGATTTTGACAGGACCACTTTTGTGAACGATGTAAATCTCAATCTCTGAGTTTTCTACCATCAACTGTTAGATAATATATATTTAGACTGTACCGTCTTTCAGATTTGTTCAGTTATTGTCGCTATTATAGTAAGCCAGTGAATAATAGTGTTACATATACCTACCAATCGTAACATAGCATCTTTCTGTAGTTGAAGAAAGAAAAACAAATAGTCAGCCGATTAGCAAAAGTGGTGTTTGGTAAAAAAAAATTGTTTGATAAAGCACTAAAAAGAAATAAATTCTAGACCTGAAAGGATGAAAATCCAGTAGCTTCCTGCATTGGGCCCTTGGCAGCCCCCATGACCCCTTGGGTTATTTTCCCCTTTTTAGCTCACCTGTCACAAAGTGACAGGGTGAGCTTTTGTGATCGCTTTTCGTCCGGCGTCCGTCCGTCCGGCGTCCGTCCGTAAACTTTTGCTTTAAATGACATCTCCTCATAAACCACTCAGCCAATTTCATCCAAACTTCACAGGAATGTTCCTTTGGTGGTCACCTTTAAAAATTGTTCAAAGAATTTAATTCCATGCAGAACTCTGGTTGCCATGGCAACCGAAAGAAAAATCTTTAAATATCTTCTTTTAAAGAACTGTAAGAGCTAGAGCTTAGATATTTGGCATGAAACATCTTCTAAAGAGTGTCTACCAAGTATGTTCAAATAAAAGCCCTGGGGTCAAAATTGGCCCCGCCCAGGGGGGTCATTGATTTTCCCTATATGCATATTGTAAAAACTTTAAAAATCTTCTTTTAAAGAACTGTAAGAGCTAGAGCTTAGATATTTGGCATGAAACATCTTCTAGTGAATGTCTACCAAGTTTGTTCAAATAAAAGCCCTGGGGTCAAAATTGGCCCCGCCCCAGGGGGTCATTGATTTTCCCTATATGCATAAAGTAAAAACTTAAAAAATCTTCTTTTAAAGAACCCAAAGAGCTAGAGCTAAGATATTTAGCATGAAACATCTTCTAATGAGTGTCTACCAAGTTTGTTCAAATAAAAGCCCTGAGGTCAAAATTGGCCCCGCCCCAGGGGGTCATAGATTTTCCCTATATGCATAAAGTAAAAACTTAAAAAATCTTCTTTTAAAGAACCCAAAGAGCTAGAGCTAAGATATTTGGCATGAAACATCTTCTAGTGAGTGTCTACCAAGTTTGTTCAAATAAAAGCCCTGGGGTCAAAATTGGCCCGGCCCTGGGGGGTCATTGATTTTCCCTATATGCATATAGTAAAAACTTAAAAAAACTTCTTTTAAAGAACCGTAAGAGCTAGAGCTTAGATATTTGGCATGAAACATCTTCTTGTGAATGTCTACCAAGTATGTTCAAATAAAAGCCCTGGGGTCAAAACTGGCCCCGCCCCGGGGGTCATCATTGATTTACCTTATATGTGTATAGCAAAAACTTAAAAATCTTCTTTGAAAAAACCCAAATAGCTTTAGTTTAGATATTAAGCATGAAACATCTATAAGTAAATATCTACAAATTAAAGCCCGGGGGTCAAAACTGGCCCTGCCCCAGGGGTGTCATTGTTTTTAACTATATGTGTATAGTAAAAACTTAAAAAATCTTCTTTTAAAAAACCCAATGAGCTAGAACTTAGATGTTAAGCATGAAACATCTTCTTATGGGTGTCTACCAAGTCTGTTCAAATAAACAAATAAAAGCCCTTGGGTAAAAATTGGCCTGGATGGGGGGGCTATATACAGGTGAGCGACCTCAGGGCCATCATGGCCCTCTTGTTATCAAATTAACTTTTGGCATCCTTGTTTCAAAAAAAAAAATCCTGGAAGATCTCGGATTCTTGTAGAAATAACAGTCATTGTCTTATATACCTATATACTATTATTAAACAATAGTAAGAGTGCAAAGTGTTCCACGTTATTGGTATAGGTAGGCAAGTGTACAACATCGCTTTTTACGTTTCTGGTTTTCAGTCTGTAAACCTTGAAAACTTTGGTAAAAAAATGAAAAAATATGAATTCCTGATAAAGTTGCTTTCAAGATTATTATTTGGGAACAAAAATAAAGGGATTTTTTTAAAATGCTTATTTTTGCTGAGTACTGTCAGGTAACATTCTGGTCGTCAGGATTATTAGTGAGATTCTCATTTGGCAAAATTAATGAGGAAATTCGATTTTCTTGAGAGATTTTATTTTCAAGATTTGCAAGATTAAAAATATTGAAATTTTTAACTTTTTGAATAACAGTATATACAAAAATTGATTTTCAAATGATGAAATAAATACATCTGCATTTATTTCACTTTTTTAGAACATCTCAGTTTTTTGTATTGTGAATTTTTAAACATAATTTAATATGATTTAACATAATAAAATTCTAATTGTGAAAAATAAGTATTACACCTTAATTCTGAAATATAAAAGAATAATACATGAAGATCTACTTGAACAGTGAAATGCACACAATGTTCCAAATGGGCAACACTGTACTGTACAGAAGAGGTTGATGAAATTTTAAGAATATCTTTTTAAACATTATGTGCTGTTTTCTTTATGATTCTCTCCACACCCCCCCCCCCCCCCCTCTCCTTTAAAAAATATCATTGAATATTATATGTGACCAACACATACTGACAAATATCTCCATATCTACAAATACAAACAATACCTAAAGTAATTTTTATTTTATAAACTTCATTGTTATAACACACCTTTTTAAATAAGATTCGCTTTCATTTAACTTTTTAAACTGCCTTGTAGCTTATCTTATAAAATAAATTAAAATGTTTTGCAGGTATGGATTCATCACTTTTGAAAATCAGGAAGATGCTGACCGGATTATCAAAAAGGAGGTGAGTGTAGAAGTGAGTGTCCACTTTTGTCTTCTTTATTTTGTTACAACCCTTTGATAATTGATTATAAAAAATAAATGCTTTTATAATATCTACATGTTAATTTATTAAAAGTAAGTTGACATAAACTTTCTTTGATGGTGATAACACAAACTAATTCCATAATTAATAATTTGTGTCGGTTTTGAAGTTCTGATTTATTTATTTGACAAATTGTTTTAAAAAATACACCTTTTTAAACATTTTCAGTCTGATAATCTTGTGTTTAGAGACAGGAAGCTCAATATAGGACCAGCAATTTAGAAAGCAGGTTTGTATATTGCATGATTTATTTTGATTGTGAAGTTGGAACATTCTTAGTAGGACTTCCACACACCCAAGTTTGTCAATGTTTTTGAACAGTTTGGCAGATTCTGTTGATTGACCGGTTTTCAAATTCTCCAGTTAAGTTTATTTTTCATGCACTGACTAATAAAGTTGTATCAAAATAGAACCAAGAGAATATCTGTTACCAAGACAAGGTTTATTTCCATTGAATTGTCAGATGCAGATATTTACTAAATTTGCATTAGATGACACTTTTTCTCTTGGAACCAGCAAAGTTTTGACATGTAGTGAATTAAGAATTGCAAAATATTTTTTTAAGGCTCCCAGATTTACATGATTCAATAAAACAATATGCAAATTCAAAGCAATTTGATTAAAATTAGCTCCTAATTAACACTATACATTTTGGATCAGGCACCAAGAGGGTACATGGCTTAAAATAGCTTCCTCTGGAAATCCAAATCACAATGAAGGCAAAACAAATGCGGTGGCAATCGGATCTGCATGCAAGAAATAACTTAAGTAAATCTGAACTACGGACATGTTTCTAGTTTAACTTCTGTACCTTCCATGAAGTAAACGTGTTTAGAATAGTGCAATTTACCCTAAAAATTCAATTAAAATCGAGTTTTTTATCCCAGTTTTACAATCATTTTCCCAAAGATAATGGGAATAGGGGCCTTTATGTTGAAAAAGCTCTGGTTAAGTAGGTGTAATACAAATGTAGGAAAAATAAGCTTACTTGATTTTTCAAACATTTTGAAAATTTGTTAATCTGGGAGTCTTAGATAAAATGACAGTTATTGCATGTTTGCCCTATGGTCAGCCTTGTTTAATTCCAATAAAAAAGTTTTTATATGTAGGATTTTCTAGAATAAAAAAGAACTTTTTTTCTGCATATTTCTTTGAAAAATATTTCAGTAGAATTTAGTAAAATTCATTGCGGATTATACAGGCAAGGTTTGACCATAGATTTTTTAATTATCTAATGATTTGTCCAGGATGTTCAGAATTTAGTTCTCTTACGCATTTACAGTTGTTTGAAGCATAATAATTTTTTTGAAAGATGTCATACCTTTTAAGGGCATCAAAATGTGGGAAAATAAGACATGAATTACAACCTTTTCAGCTTTATATGAAAAATTTTGAAATTCTTTTTTTTTTTTTTTATCAAATTTGATATGTAGAACTACACTGTAGCCTCGATAACTCGCCCTTCATTATAACGCAAATCTCAGTATAGCGTTCATAGACCTTGGCTCCAAAAAAAAAAAAAAAAAAATCAAAAAAAAAAAAAAAAAAATTTTTTTTTTAAGTAGACTTAGATTTTATAGCGTGCTATAACGCTTGCTCAATTGACTGTCAAGTACAATAAACAATTGTTATTAGGACATTTTTGTGCGCCAAAGGTGTGAAAAACATGCCTGTAAGGGTTAATTTGCTCTTTTGTTGTTTTACCTGTCTTCATATTGTTTCCAAAATCTCAAATTCATATCATAACCGTGACATTGGCAACCGGTGGTGTAGTATAAATAAACTAAAATTCACACACATATCTTTTGACATGTAAACCTCGCTGAATTAAATAACCCACAAGCCCAAAATCAATTTAAAATCCTGCACTGTAAATAGAGCGGGCATGACAGGAAAATAATTGGCGTCTGATTTACTAGGGGACACAACTAAAGCTGGACTGTAAATTACAGTGTTATTTACAGTCCAGCTTTAAGTTGTGTCCCCTAGTTAATCACACGTCATTACAGTAATGGCTAACTGTTAGTGTTTACACTACATTCATGATTTATAATTTTCTTTCGAAAGTTTTTCATTTCTTTTAAATATAATTAGTGTTATTGTGAATATAATACATGTTTACATCATTGAAATGCTTTAGAAAAAGATAATGTCGATTTTCATTGAACAGTAAGTAAAAAAAAAATCAGCGTTAATATATAATATGTGGTGGGTGGGGTAATGCGGTAATTTCGCAATGAGCATTCTAATGAGAGCCTCGTTAAAGCGCGGTGGTGAGACATTGGACCCCAACATGAGCGTTTTAATGAGGCTGAAGTGTATTTCAGTGGGTAATATATATGAAGAAAAAAAGTCTGAATTTAGATGCACTGAAGATGCCCTAAAAATGTACATGTTATATTGTTGAAATACAAACTTAATGCATTTACCTTTTGTTGTAGATAACCTTTACCTTTACTACTACAAATCCATTTCCTGTATTGTTCTATTATAATATTGTCTTTACAGTTGGAAAGAATATTGCAAAATCTTAATTTTTCATGTGTATATAATTTCGGAACAAAATCAAATAGAAAAGAAACAAAACTAAAACACATTATAACAGTGAAATGGAAGTAAGACATGAAAAGGATGCACATCTCTATTTTAATTTGAATCAGCGTCTTTCATGGGTGTTTTTTTCCTAACAATGTATGATAAGAAACAACTTGGACCCACTGATTTTAATAAGTATTGGTAGTGGAATGGTTTTTCTTTACAGGTAATATCTCAAGATGATATTTTGATGATGGTATTATTAAAAATAAATGGTAGCAATGACATGTCAGTGAAAAAATATTTTTGCTCTTCCATGACTGCTTTATGTTGGCCTTAATTCTACCATTATTATCTACTTTATTTTTGATGAGACTTGTCCAAGAATAATTTTAAAATCATAAAAGAATATCTACTTTTTACTTTCAAAGCCCTGAAAGATTTTTAGAAGAGATGTGAATCTTTAACATTGACACAGTTGGCAAAATTTGTTAACTGAAATTAACTGATATTTTGGGAATTACAATACATTGTTACAAATGTTTAATGGTTTTTGAAAGGGGTGAAGGAGAGGTCAATTTTAATATTGAAAATTGCCAACTGTCATTAATGAAGTTAAGATAGGTGTAATAAAACTGCAAGTCAGTAATGTTACATCTTGCTCATTTTGAGCATTTTGGTTTGTGCATGTATTTTCATGTTAATCTAACAAAGTTATTTCCCATTTCATTTGCAGCAAGTTTTGCCAAGGGCATTTGGTAAGCCTCTTTGTTTTTAAATATTTTTTTGTTTTAAAGGAATAATTAAAAAAAAAATCATTTAGAATCTGTAGAATTTCTTATTCAATTTTGAAGTTGATACTGTGATTTTATATTCTTTGGTGATTTATTTAAATAAATTTGCATGAATATAACAAGTTGCTGGATTTGCTTAATTTTCAGATTATTGAAAGTTTTAAGGCTGTTAAAGCATTTTAAATTACATTAAATGTTAAACATGGACAATGCTTAAGTTTCTGTTTGCTCCTTCAATTAATTCTTTTTCAACAATTTTCTTAACAATGCGAATAATTTGTCTGTTTATTTTGAATTTTCACCATGAACCCTCTTTTTTTTGGGCAAAACCCTTTTTTTTCAAAGAGAAAAAAATATAGGAAATTAAAACCCAGTCAGGGGGGAAATTTCCCGGTTTGCCCGGGCAAACTCCCCAACTTTGTTTTAAAATATTTTTAATTTCTTTTTGGTTATTGCCCTTCTATCCCCCTTGACCAACCCCCCAAACAACCCCTTGGGACAAGCCCTTGAATTTGGGACAAGTTTAAAAATTTGACCCCTTTTCATAAAATAACCTTACTTTTAAAAGGCCCCAAAAGGGGAAAACCCTATAATTTTAAATTTTTTTGAATGGATTGCCTTAAAAATTTTGAACACAAATAAACCCCCTTGGGGGGGGGGGGGAAAACCCTTTTTTAAAGGTTCCCCCAGACAAACCTGACCCCCCAGTCAAAAAATTTGCCCCTTGGGCCCCTTTGTTTATCCCTTGGCCCAAAAACAAGACTTGCTACCAAACAAATATTGAATGATTTAGGTATGACCTTTAATTGACCTTGACTGTCAAGGTCAATAATGAAATTCACTTGTTTTTCCTGTAACTGGCGGTAACTGTTATCAGTAAATGGATTAACTACATATTTAGACATAACATCTTTAAAGTCACAACCTTCATGTATATCAAATTAACCTTGACTCATGTATGACCTTGATCTTGAAGATCAAATTAGTGGATTTTCACCGATTATCACTATATTTGGCTGTAACTTGGAAAATAAACAATGGGTGGCATCAACCTTTTGGAGAAGACTTCGTAAAAGGTTGAACTGACCTTGACCATCAAGATCAGATATTGAATTTTGTTTGTATTTTCTTAACTTTGTCATTTATATATGGAAATGATTCAAATTTTGACAAAACAACAAGCATGACTTTACAGACATACTAAAATAAAAAAAGGAAAACCATATTATTTTTTTTCTTCTGATCTTTCTTTTTAAACATTTGTTGTATGCTTTAAGAAAAATTAAAAAAATTTGAGCATTGCCCCCTCTGGGCAGTGGATCTTGTTGTGTATAGAAGTAGATGCTTTTATCCATCCCATATCATTACATCTTACATGCATGTTATCATTTTAAACAAGGTGATATTTTGTCTGTAGTTTATTTGGAAAGTTGCCCTCTTTCGTTTTTGAAATGCATCTTCAAAAAAAAAAAAAAAAAAAAAAAATAGTAAATGAAATGAGTAAATTTTGACTTTAAAAATTGTCATATTTAGAATTTCTTTTGGTTACTGATGTTTTGATTTCAAGGAAAACAATTATTATGAGAAATATATACTCTAGATTATAAGTGGCCAGCATGTGATGACACAATATTGAAAAAGTTTGATTCAGTGTAAATTGTTGAAATAGAATGAGAATTGATTTAATTTAGACACAGGTATCCTGTATTTTTCAGTAAGTAAGTTCTTTAAAGTGGCGTAATTTCTCAATTAACAGTTGAGCTAGTATTATAGTTTGAAGAAAACATAACATTCCTATAAAGAATTTAGCCTTGTGACAAGATGTAATAACATTTGGTTTGCTTGTCTGTATGCTTTACACTTCCATGCTTAGACAGTCCTTGCTTTTCTTTATAAGCTTCGAAATTATTCCAAGTCCTTGCATTGTAAACCTTAACTTAAGCATTGATGAAGCTTAAATGGAACAGTTATTATGAATTTACAGAATCCCCGGTGTCGCCAGGTGCTGTGATGTTCTCTAATGGTGTCCCTTATACCTACCAGAATGGCATGGCAGTGTTTGCATCTCCAGAAGCAGGTTATGCTGTACCTCAAGCTCAGGTATGAAACTTTACTTTCCTAGGATTATTACACATGTAATCCTGGGTCCATTTCCCACTTTAAACCACTGGCCACTCACCGCTGCGGGTTTGAATCCTGACAGGGACTTCGAATTCTTTCATGTGAGAAAGATTTCCAGCTAGCTTAGAATGTCAGTGGTTCTACTCAGGTGCCCGTTTCTGCATGAAAAATTGTATTCCTAGAAATTTTCAATGGTATAGTTTTTCATTTTTTATTAGCTCACCTGTCACAAAGTGACGGGGAGAGCTTTTGTGATTGCTTTTCGTCCGGCGTCCGTCCGTCCGTAAACTTTTACTTTAAATGACATCTCCTCATAAACCACTAAGCCAATTTCATCCAAACTTCACAGGAATGTTCCTTTGGTGGTCACCTTTCAGGGTTCGACACTAACGGGGTCCCGGGATTCCGAGGATCCCAAAAAGTCGGGAGGAATCCCTGTGATTCCTAGCTGGGGATTCCGTTGGGATCCCTGAAAAATTGCTGTGTAAATTTTTGAAATTTTCTGAATTAATGTCATTGAATCACAAATATTCAAGAAAAGTGGTTCAAGAAAGAAAAGAAAAACCCCGCCGGTAAAATCTACACTCTTGAATTATGTACGCTAGTTTTTCTTTGTGCAGTGACTGCTATCAACTCATTTGCGATATATAATGACAAAAATGTTTTGACTAAAGAAACATTCTTGTATAATTTTATATCATGCATTGACTTCATAAAATAGAGTTGTGAAAATTCAAAAAAGAAATGTAATTATCGTATAATTATTACACAAGCGATGTGTACTTCAAATTTGTGTTGATCGGCAATGCCGGCGGTAGCTACTGTACAGTTATCCAGTGTTTGTTGTTTGTTTTTTTGCCAAAATTCGGCACTTGTGACCATTGTAAATTTTCGTCAAAATTGTGAAAAAAAGATAGCTGGTGTATTTTTATGCCCCCACAGAGTGGGAGCATATAGCGTTGCACTTGTCCGTCCGAGTGTCAGTCCGTCCGTCCGTCAGTCCGTCCGTACGTCCCGAAATCTTGCGAACGCAACTCCTCTTAAACCGGATGGCAGATTTTGCTTAAACTTACAGGGATGAACAACCTTAATGTGTAGATGGTAGTAAAGGAAGGAATTTTCGCTGCGACCAAATTTAACAGAATTATGGCCCTTTGTTGATTTTTTCACTAGATACTATGAAGAAATTTTGTGAACGCAACTCCTCTTAAACCGCATGGCAGATTTTGCTTAAACTTACAGGGATGAACAACCTTAAGGTGTAGATGGTAGTAAAGGAAGGAATTTTTGCTGCGACCAAATTTAACAGAATTATGGCCCTTTGTTGATTTTTTCACTATATACTATGTAGAAATTTTGTGAACGCAACTCCTCTTAAACCGCATGGCAGATTTTGCTTAAACTTACAGGGATGAACAATCTTAAGGTGAAGATGGTAGTTAAGGAAGGAATTTTTTGCTGCGACCAAATTTTACAGAATTATGGCCCTTTGTTGATTTTTCACTATATACTATATAGAAATTTTGTGAATGCAACTCCTCTTAAACGGATGGCAGATTTTGCTTAAACTTCCAAGGATGAACAACCTTTATGTGTAGATGGCAGTAAAGGAAGGAATTTTCGATGCAACCAAATTAACAGAATTATGGCCCTTTGTTGTTTTTTCATTATATACTATGTAGAAATTTTGTGAACGCAACTCCTCTTAAACCGGATGGCAGATTTTGCTTAAACTTCCAGGGATTAACAACCTTAATGTGTAGATGGTAGTAAAGGTAGGAATTTTTGCTGCGACCAAATTTAACAGAATTATGGCCCTTTGTTGATTTTTAGTTTTCAACTTGTGGCACATGTAGTCCAAAAAATATTTGACCTACAGTCATAAGATTGACAGAACAGTGGTGTGTGGGGGCATCCGTGTCCTATGGACACATTTCTAGTTTCTCCCTACAGTAGACTACAGCAAAAGTATAATTAATAAACAAACTAAAAAGAATCCATACTTTTAAGTTTAAAATCCTTTTTGAAACTCACAGCCTTCAATGCTAAAAAAACATTGTCTAACTAAAGTCTTAAGGTCAATCAAGGTCACGCATTATTTACCGACAAGAAATATAAAAATCCTTACGTGAAACATACAGCAAATGACGAAATATAAAGCAAATGACGTATATTTCATCTGACAGTGCTTTGAGCCAATCAGTGTTGTGAACTACATGACTGCTGTATGGGGTGAGTGCCTTTGATGTGACAGGTGTCAAAACTTGAAAAAAAATCAATACACCGGGAGGAAAGGGATGGTACATTTCAGTGTAAAAATTGAGAACAATAAATTTGGATATTGCACATCCCGTCATGGACTTGGAGCAACTTATCATTTTTAAAAATGAAATCATTTAAAGGTACCGTACTTGTAATGCAAACAAAACTGTTTCTTGATATTTTTACTAGCTTAAGTAAAAAAATTATCAAAATATTTAATTTACAACAATCTATGGGATTTTTCCTTTTAAACACAAAAATTTAAAATGATATCAAATATTTTTTTTTAAAGTGATCATAATTAAGTATTCCTTAAAAATGACATGAAAGTAAATAATTATCGACAGTTATCCATACCAGACCTTTCTGGAATATGGAGCCTAATCATTACCTGTAACTTTTTAAAGATCTACATATGATAAGTGGGCTCTATTTCAGTGAACCCAGGCTATCTGGGAAAATGTTTCCCCAGTTCCTATTTAACTTCAAAAATTCAAACCACCTTGGCAAGTCACTTGCATTATACCTTCATTTAGATACAGAAACTGGTTCACAATTATCAACTCCAGGGAGAAAACAGGTTTTAGCAAGATAGCTATTTTCAAATCAAACTCTTGTTCAGTGAGCTTAATGTTATTCTGTTTCCATGTTCATGTAAAAACATATTATGTTTTAATTTATCTTAGCAGTCCAAATATACTAGTAAAGTTAACACTTTGAAACGCTTTTAAAACTTTAAATAGCATTATTTCCAAAGGGCTCATAAACTACATTTTCTGCATCTGAAACAAGACAATATATCCTGTATGTAGTCTCAAAAATGAAAAGAATTTGAAATCGAATTGCTGCACTCCTTTGTTATTCTTCGCTTCCATATTTTACTATTTTGATCTGAGGAATCCCTGACATTTAGGAGGAATCCCTGAATTAAATCTCAGGGATTCCTATGGGATCCATGGTAAAAACAGTGTCGAACCCTGCCTTTAAAAATTGTACAAAGAATTTAATTCCATGCAGAACTCTGGTTGCCATGGCAACCGAAAGAAAAAACTTTAAATATCTTCTTTTAAAGAACCATAAGAGCTATAGCTTTTTTTTTGGCATGAAACATGTTCTAGTGAATGTCTACCAAGTTTGTTCAAATAAAAGCCCTGGGGTCAAAATTGGCCCCGTCCCAGGGGGTCATAGATTTTCCCTATATGCATATAGTAAAAACTTAAAAAATCTTCTTTTATACCCAAAGAGCTAGAGCTAAGATATTTAGCATGAAACATCTTCTAATGAGTGTCTACCAAGTTTGTTCAAATAAAAGCCCTGGGGTCAAAATTGGCCCCGCCCCAGGGGGTCATTGATTTTCCCTATATGCATATAGTAAAAACTTAAAAAATCTTCTTTTAAAGAACTCGAAGAGCTAGAGCTAAGATATTTAGCATGAAACATGTTCTAATGGGTGTCTACCAAGTATGTTCAAATAAAAGCCCTGGGGTCAAAACTGGCCCCGCCCCGGGGGTCATTGATTTTCCTTATATGTGTATAGCAAAAACTTAAAAATCTTCTTTGAAAAAACCCAAATAGCTTGAGTTTAGATATTATACATGAAACATCTTTAAGTAAATATCTACAAAGTTTGTTCAAATAAAAGCCCGGGGGGTCAAAACTGGCCCTGCCCCAGGGATGTCATTGTTTTTAACTATATGTGTATAGTAAAAACTTAAAAAATCTTCTTTTAAAAAACCCAATGAGCTAGAACTTAGATGTTTAGCATGAAACATCTTCTTATGGGTGTCTACCAAGTCTGTTCAAATAAAAGCCCTTGGGTAAAAATTGGCCGGGGGGGCTATATACAGGTGAGCGACCTCAGGGCCATCATGGCCCTCTTGTCTTTATATGTGTTTAGCAAAAACTTTAAATCTTCTTTGAAAAAACCCAAATAGCTAGAGTTTAGATATTAAGCATGAAACATCTTCTAGTAAGTGTCTACAAAGTTTGTTCAAATAAAAGCCCTGGGGTCAAAACTGGCCCGGCCCCAGGGGTGTCATTGTTTTTAACTATATGTGTATAGTAAAAACTTATAAGAATCTTTTTTTAAAAAGCCCAATGAGCTAGAGCTTAGATGTTTAGCATGAAACATCTTCTTATGGGTGTCTACCAAGTTTGTGCAAATAAAAGCCCTTGGGTTAAATTGGCCCTGCAACGTTGGGGGGGGGGGCCTATATATAGGTTAGCGACCTCAGGGCCATCATAGCCCTCTTGTATGATTTAAAATTCGTGAAGCTTTTTACGCAACACCATTGGGAAAAAAAAGCTCTACTGATTTCTGTATATTTAGTTAGCTATTAAAATATAGCTATAAGTATATAATTGGATGTAAAACTATGTTTCATTATCATAAATTTTCCTTTTTCAGCCACAGACAGCATTAATGGTCCCACAGACACCACCAGTGTATGTACAACCACAGTATGCAACATACCAAGTACCAGTTTCAGCATATAATTATACATCATTACAGGTTTGCTTTCTAATCATTTTATAAAGGTTGTTTATGCTGCAATACATGTCAGTGATTTTTTTCACACTTTTTTGTGAAACAGCTTGTGCCTTCTCTTCTGTGAATTTTTAAACACGCTTAAGTTTAATTGTGAAAAATAAAATTTAGACCTAATTAGATAATCAAGATACAAGTAAAAAGAAAATTACATATCAATACCAGGGATGTTTATGTTATTATATTATCTACCGGTTTCGACCTACTGTGAGAAATTTGTGAGAAAATCACAAAAATTTGGTCCTGAAGTATATAGGATGGTTAGTCAATGACTGACCAAAATGGTAACAAAAATTCTAAAAATATGAGATTTTGCTCAGTGCCAGAATATTGTCATGTATATGTAATAAAAAGAATCATGGTTTTACCGAGTCCAGTGTTTTCTGGCCATTGAAAAGTTCCATAAATAGAGGATATACAAATAATTTGTTGACAGTTTGTGTCACTTTTTATGCTCCCCGAAAAATTTCGGGGGAGCATATAGTCGGCGCCTTGTCCGTCTGTCCGTCCGTTGTCTTGTCCAGAGCATAACTTGAAATCCTTGGAGATAATTTGTTGAAACTTCATACAGTGGTAGCGGTCATCGAGGGGGAGTGCAGTGTCAAAGAACCATAAGTCTATTTTGCCCGGTTTTTGAATTATCTCCCCTTATAGAAAAATCTTGTTCGGGGCATAACTCTAAAACTATAAGAGATATCAACATGAAACTTTGTAGGTGATTAGATCTCAATGGGTAGATGTGCAGTGCATAAGAACAATAACTCTTTTTGCCCTAATTTTGGAGTTATTGCCCTTTGTTAATTTTAATACTTTGAACTTTGTCCGGAACATAACTTGAAAACCCTTGGAGATAATTTGTTGAAACTTCATACAGTGGTAGAGGGCATCGAGGGGGAGTGCAGTGTCAAAGAACCATAACTCTATTTTGCCTGGTTTTTGAATTATCTCCCCTTGTAGAAAAATCTTGTCCGGGGCATAACTCTAAAACTATAAGAGATATCAACTTGAAACTTTGTAGGTGAATAGATCTCAATGGATAGATGTGCAGTGCTAAAGAACCATAACTCTGTTAAGCCTTATTTTTGAATTATCTCCCCTTTTAGAAAAATCTTGTCCAGGACATAGCTGTAAAACTATAAGAGATATCAACATGAAACTTTGTAGGTAGATAAATTTCAATGGGTAGATGTGCAGTGCACAAGAATCATAACTTTACCTTGCCTAATTCTGGAGTTATTGCCCTTTGTTTATTTTTACTTTTTGAATTGTCCAGGACATAACTCGGAAATCATAAGAGATATCATCAAGAAACTTTGTAGGTTGATAGATCACATTGATTAGAAGTGCAGTGCAAAGAACTGTAACAGCCTTGCCTAATTTTGGAATTATTGCACTTTGAACTTTTTTCCACGGACATAACTCTGAAACTACAAGAGGTGTACTTTCCTGTGTACAAAACCTATTTGGGGAGCATCACCCGGCTCAAACCGGGCTCTTGTAGTATTACTTTATCTATGTTATGCACTTTTTTAATGTGAATACATGTTGGCATCAAATGGCAGGATTGGCTTTTCCACAAAAAAGTGAGAGGAAAAAGAAAAAAAATCACTGCAATGACTGCGCATGTGCCATTTGCTCTGGAGGAAATAGCACAAACAATTTTCTTTCATAGACATACATATAATAAGGTATTGCTCTTTTCATTTAAATTCAAACAATATTTTTGTAAATTACAGGTAGCAGTCATATAGCTTAATACACTTTTGAGCATGTGTTATTTTGACTTGTCTTTTCTGTATTTGTAGACTTCGTCTTTTCTGTATTTGTAGACTTCACCTCAGTGGGCAACTACAGCAGCAGCGGCTGCAGCAAATGCAGGTCAATGGCGATACATGACACAGGTAAAAACATTTTTTGGCTCGCCTTAGCTAGCTCAGGGTGAGTTTTAGGATTGTTGAATGTCCGTCGTCTGTCGTCCATCCTTATTTGTTCGTTAACACTCTTGTGGTCACATTTTCTCCTCAATCAACATCAAACTTTGTCGGGATGCTTGTCAAGCTAATTGCTCACATGAGTTACAACATGGGTCATCTCGGATGATAAATAAGGTCACAGGAGCTAAAAATGGAAAAATCTTGTTAACACTTTGTAGAAGCTTATGTTTTGATCTGAAAGTTTGTTTTGATGATTTCTAGGTCAAGTTGGAATATGGGTCACCTGGGATCAAAAACTAGGTGACATTGCCCATATATGGAAAAACCTTGTTAACACTCTAGTGGTCACATTTTTGACTCTGACTCTATTGTCATCAAACTAGGTCACAGGAGCTAAAAAAAATAGAAAAATCTTGTTAACAATTTAGTGGGTTCTAAATTGTGGGTTCTGTTTTGATCCAAATATCCTGGAAATTGGTCTGAAAGTTTGTTTTGATGATTTCTAGGTCAAGTTCGAATATGGGTCACCTGGGTTCAAAAACAAGGTGGCACTGCCCAAATTTGGAAAAACCTGTTTAGCACTCTAAAGGTTACATTTTTAGCTCGACTTTTCTATGAAAAGGGGAGCTATCCTACTCGCCCCGGCGTCGGCGTCGGCGTCACACCTTGGTTAAGTTTTTCGTACCACCCCACTTTATTTCAGAAGTATTACAAGTATGGCTTTGAAACTTACCATACTTGTTCACCATCATAACCTCCATCTACAGACAAGAGTACATAACTCTGTCAAGGTTTTTGACAGAATTATGGCCCTTTTTTGACTTAGAAAGTGTATTGAGCTTGGTTAAGTTTTTTGTACCACCTCACTTTATTTCAAAACCATTGGAGGTATTGCTTTGAAACTGACCATACTTGTTTACCATCACGACCTTCATCAACAGACAAGAGGACATAACTCTGTCAAGGTTTTTGACAGAATTATGCCCCTTTTTGACTTAGAAAATACATTTAATATGGGTAAAATCCACTTATTGCCTTAACCCTTTGAGATATTGCTTTGAAACTTTTAATGCTATTTCACATCATTACCCCCATCTGTACGCAAGAGAAGGTAACTCTGTCAAGGATTTGTTTTAAAAATTAAGGCCTTTTATCGACTTAGAATCTTGGTTAAGTTTTTAGTACCAGTCCACTTTTTGACTGAACTGTTTGAGATATTAATTTGAAAGTTGGAATACTTGTTTACAATCATGATTCCCAAACATGTCCAGGAGAAGGTAATTCTGTCAAAGATTTTATTTGAATTATGGCCCTTAACTGTCAATGTTTTGTATTATAGGCAAGCACTAAAAAACTTAAAAAATCTAAAAAAATTCATTCCTATCCACTTGTTCACTTTACCATAAATTATGTCATAATAAAATAATTCTTCACTAAATATCTTAATGCTCATGGCCATTGTTCACTTTAAAAATACAGAGATTCTTGTATTGCCTTTTACTGCAAAAACTTTTTTTATTGGCAAGCAATAAAAAAGTCGAGCGCGCTGTCTTACGGACAGCTCTTGTTTACTCAATTGTCATCAAACTTGGTCAGGATGCTTGTCTAAGTAATTGCTTGGATGAGTTGGATGGGTCAGGTGAGCGATCTGGGGACATTTTGGCCCTCCTGTTAGCTTGACTATTCAAAGAAAAGGGAAAGCTTTTGTTCTCACCCAGTGGTCCTCGTCGTGGTTTCCATGTAAGTTGGCATTTCCAAAACTATTGAATAAAATGGGATGAAACCTCATAAACTTGTAACGTAACTATAACATTGATTTGACAGAATTATGCGTTTATATATAAATGGGTATGTATATATATACAAAATATATAGACTAAACTAGTGTGACAAGACAGATCAATTAAATTTATAAAAAGGAAACGTTAAGATTTGTTCAAACTTTCTTTGTTTGCTTTTAGTAAAAGTAAAAAGTCTAGCGTTGCCCCTACCCGGCAGTGGCTCTTGTTGTTAAGCTTACCTTATCACATTGTCTCAAGTTTAGCTTTTATGATCACAATCTTTAAGTCTGTTCAGTGTTGCCAACATTTTTTAGAAATGAATATTTAAAAATCGGCTCCTCGGAAAGTGCAAGAGCTTGAGCTAAGAGATTTTGTATGTAGTAAGAAATCTCTTAGGCTTACAGAAAAGTTCTAGTTCTGTAAGTCAAGTGCTCTAGTTTGTGCTTCAAATAATGCAATTCATGAGAAAACTATGGTCACCTGGTATCATGGTAAAGTGTTTGAAGTTTTGCAAAGTTTGAATTGTAAAGAAAACTTGGTTGACTGTAAGACATAAGTGTTAATAGCTGTTCTTTAAGAAGTGGTTTCTCGGGAGCTTTTTGTTTTTGCATGCTTTCATTCATTATTCTTCATGACACTTGTGTTTAGACTGAGAAACAGGCAGAACAAATTTTCTTTGCTTTGAATAATTATATTATACTGCTTATTGTGTGATAATTATGTTAAAGTGAAACAAATGTTTTTTATTTAAATGTAGAGCCCTACTACAGCTTTGACAGCTACAGCCAACCCTTACATGATCGCTATGCAACCAGATTTGATGTATGCTCAAGTACCACAGGCATATCAAGCCCCAGAATTCACAGATGCTACTGTTCTTGATGGCACTGCTGGGGTTGAGGTAATGTCAAACCATTATGCTCTGTGATAATTCAAGAATTGTGAATTTACAAAATAGTGTGTAAATGAAATATTTGTTGTTTTGAATAGTGGTCCTCATAAATGCAGACCAATACAAAATTTATCTTTTCTAAATTATGAAATGTTTTACTTGAAGCAGCTTTCCCTTAAGTTTTAAATGAGCACTAAATTGTCTATTTTACTAACAAGTTTCTTGCTGATTCATTATGTTTTGTGTAGGGTCTGCCCACAGGATAGCAATAATATATCAAGAAGTTTGAGAAAAATGTTTTAAAATTTTTAAGAAAAGTTAAAAGATTAAATATTCATGTAAATATTTTTACATGTGTGGTTTATTACTGGTTTTGCAGTGTTTATCACCATATTTCTACAGTGACTTACACAGAAAGGGCTTTTTAGAGATTTTTTTTTTTGTAATTTATGTGGATTTTTAGTGTTGTATATTTTTTATTGACTTCACCATAATGTACTTTAAAATACATTTTCAAAATTTTCATGAATATTAGCAGGAGGCATGCTGCTTTAAAGTAAGTCCTGATGTTACAGAAATGGCATACATGTTCTTGAAATAATGCCAATGTAAATAATTAAATGACATCTAAATTTAATGTGCCCCTTTAGTTGAAATTGACAAGATAAGTTTGTTTTATTCTGTAGCAAGTTTGAACATAATGATTATCCATGCATGTTTGAATTAATTGTAATTGGTCTGTCATTTGTGAATGATCTGTTAGTTACAGGTATTTATTTTGTACGGAGAAGGTATACATCATTCCAGTATTTATTATTGAGAAGTACTTTTTTGTTGCATTTTTTGTACAGATGCTATTTTTGTACCTCATAAAACATCTTTGTTTTGTTGTTGAGAAAGAAATGTTTGGAAGTTGGAGAGGAATAGAAAAATTGTTATATATATACTTCTTAAATAACTCATTGTTGTACTAAGTATTGTCAACTATTGCCTCATATTTATTCATTTTTGTTATATTTATACCCCCAAAAACGAAGTTTGGGGGGGTATATAGGAGTCACCCGGTGGTCGGTTGGTCGGTCGGGCGGTCGGTCGGTCGGTCCAGACGTCCGTTGCATTTTCCTTGTCCGGAGCATAACTTGAAAACTAATGGTTGGAATTCAATATAACTACATACAATGGTCAAGCACATTGAGAGGAAGTGCAGTGCACATGAACCATAACTCTATCTTGACTAATTACAGAGTTATTGCCCTTTGTTACTTTTCCTTGTCCGGGGCATAACTTGAAAACTACTGGTTGGAATTCAAAACAACTTCATACAATTGTCAAACACAATAAGGGGAAGTGCAGTGCACAAGAACCATAACTCTATCTAAAGTAATTACAGAGTTATTGCCCTTTGTTGCTTTTCCATTGCTTTTTTTTTTTGTCCGTTGCATTTTCCTTGTCCGGAGCATAACTTGAAGACTAATGGTTGGAATTCAATATAACTACATACAATGGTCAAGCACATTGAGTGGAAGTGCAGTGCGTAAGAAACATAACTCTATCTTGACTAATTACAGAGTTATTGCCCTTTGTTACTTTTCCTTGTCCGTGGCATAACTTGAAAACTGCTGGTTGGAATTCAAAACAACTTCATACAATTGTCAAACCAATAAGGGGAAGTGCAGTGCACAAGAACCATAACTCTATCTAAAGTAATTACAGAGTTATTGCCCTTTGTTGCTTTTCCATTGCCTTCTTTTTTTTGTCCGGACCATAACTTGAAGACTAATGGTTGGAATTCAATATAACTACATACAATGGTCAAGCACATTGAGAGGAAGTGCAGTGCATAAGAACCATAACTCTATCTAAAGTAATTAAAGAGTTATTGCCCTTTATTACTTTTCCATTGCTTTCTTTTGTCCGGACCATAACTTGAAAAACTGATTGTTGCAATTCATTATAACTTCATACAATGGTCCAGCACATTGAGAGGAAGTGCAGTGCACAAGAACCATAACTCCATTTTGACTTATTACAGAGTTACTGCCCTTTGTTTCTTTTCCTTGTCCAGAGCATGACTTTAAAACTACTGGTTGGAATTCAAAACAACTTCATACAATGGCCAAGCATAATAAGGGGAAGTTGCAGTGCACAAGAACCATAACTCCATCTTGACTAATTACAGAGTTATTGCCCTTTGTTACTTTTCCATTGCTTTCTTTTGTCCAGACCATAACTTGAAGACTTATTGTTGGAATTCATTATAACTTCATACAATGGTCAAGCACATTGAGAGGAAGTGCAGTGCATAAGAACCATAACTCCATCTTGACTAATTACAGAGTTACTGCCCTTTTGTTACTTTTCCTTGTCCAGAGCATGACTTGAAAACTACTGGTTGGAATTCAAAACAACTTCATACAATGGTCAAGCACAATAAGGGGAAGTGCAGTGCACAAGAACCATAACTCCATCTTGACTAATTACAGAGTTATTGCCCTTTGTTACTTTTCCTTGTCCAGAGCATAACTTGAAAACTACTGTTTGGAACTCAGTACAACTTCATTACAATTGTCAAGGGATTAAAAGGAAGTGCAGTGCACAAGAGCCATAACTCCATTTTGACAAAAATACAGAGTTACTGCCCTTGATACTTTTCCTTGTCCGGAGCATAACTTAAAACGTACTGGTTGGAATTCAAAACAACTTCATACAATGGTCAAGCACAATAAGAGGAAGTGCAGTGCACAAGAACTATAACTCTATCTTCAGTATTTATAGAGTTATTGCCCTTTGTTCTTTTTCTTTGTCTTTCTGGACTTGTTACAGAGTAATTCAATTAAACTTCATCAATGGCCAACCACATTGAAAGGAAATGCAACATACATGAATCACAATTATCTTTAATTGCCCACAACCATAACTCTATGTTTCAATTCTATTACAAGGTATTCTGTTACTAGTAACATCCTCATTTCCGAAGCAGACTTGTGGGGGTATTAATCACATTTAGTGATAGTTCTAGTTTAAGTTTATTAACTTCATATTCTATTAAAAAAATCCTCATTATTGTGCAATAATAACTTGATTAATTTAAATCTATTTATTTTGCCTTAGTTATGAATGTTCACAGGTGTACTTGTACTTAAAAGACTTCAGATGCATGGAGAGAGAGAGTTTACATATAAGTCTTCAGGTTTTTGTTTTTTCATTTGAACTCTACAATTTAATCTCTGCTTCATTCCAGTACTTAGAGAAGGCTCAATGTTGTGTTTGTAAAATGCTTATCTTAAAACTGCATGGATTTGGTGGATGCTACATCAATCAGCATGATAGATAAATGAACAAACATACTTGACACTAATATATGCATATTTTTATTGATTTTGCAGCATGGTGTGCCTTATACTGTTCAGAAGATGTATGATCATTCTGTATTGACAAATATATGTTAACCTCTACAATATTACATAGTAACAAATTGTCCAAATTTACAGATCTCCAAATATTTTGCAACTTGAGATTTACTCCAGTCAGGCTGAACTTCATGGGTACATAACAAGCTTGAGAAGTTTAGATTCTGTTCTCAGATTAATTTTCACTCAAGATTACTTTGAAATTCATGTTTACTAAATTTATTGTAGCGTTCTGGTAATACAGTTTGTTTTTACCTTCCACATGTTTGATGATATTAACATGAAAGTTTTAACCCTTTTTCATTCTTGCTTGTTGTTCTTGTTAAGATATTTAAAAGTGAAAATGTTTGAAAAAAAAAAAAACACGACAAAAACAACATTAAATGGGAATGAGGGTTTTGTTCAGAAAAAAGAACAAATTATCATTTTAGAAATGAATTGATGTCCATGTTTTTCTATGCAAGCATAAGACATTGAAGAGAAAATTGTTTCTTTAAGATTAAAATAGATTTGCCTTGTTGAAAGTTTATAGTTGACTAACACTTGTTCAGTATTTGCTTGATGCACTTTCATGTTTCTTACAATTTTCCTATGATTTTGATGTGGACTGAAATGCATAAACAGCAATTTTTACCCAACTATTCTGATAAATTCGTATTTGTTGTACAAAGATTCTTACATGAAAGTAGAGAATGCCAGCCTGATACTTTTATCCATGGAACAGGAATACATACTTTGTAAAACTATAGAAAAAAGAACTTTAGTAAGAGATGTTTTCATACAGCTTCTTAAAGCATGCAGTTTAAACTTAATGCATTATCTCAACTGCATGTGTATACTTTGCATGCAATTAGATGTTTCTAGGAAATGCATTTGTTTCAGGGCAGCATCTCCATGGGGGAACAAAGCTTGCAACAACTGGTCAGCCAGCCAATCGTCTCTGTTACTGAGGCAAAAGTCCCAGCTCCAGCACAAAATGTGGCTGTGTCAGTCGTGGCGACGACGATGCAGTATACACCTCCGGTTGTAACCTGCTCCATGCAGCATGACAAGTGTATCCCTATGTCTATAATTAACTCTGTTATGTCTACTAATACTCCAATTACTACATCTAGTCCAGTATCTACAGTCACCACAAGCAAGCATTCTAGTGTGTGTGCTATCAATGTCGCGCCTTATAAGAAACCAATTGCAACTGTGTCAAGAAGAAACTTCACAAGTCCCTTCATTGTAAGGAATGGACATAAAGTACAGTGTTTAATGGTCCCACCAAAAAATATGGCTTCCGGACAATATGCTTTTATGGCACAGCTTCCAGAGGAGACTGGTACCCCTACTCCTTGGAGTATTCCTTGAAGAGAACTGAAGTGAAAAATTTATCTGGAAATGACTATAAATAAAACACGTTATTTGTTTTCTTGTTAAGGTTGCTGGTTTTTAAGTAATTTGTTTACAATGTTTTTTTCCCTCCTGTAAAGTGATTTATTAGTCCCCTACCGGTTTAACCGGAGGGGACTTTAGGTTTACCCTCCGTCCGTCTGTCTGTCTGTCTGTCAGTCCGTCGGTCCGTCCGTCCACAAAACTGGATCCCGCGATAACGCAAAAAGTACTGAAAATATTTTTATGAAACTTGATATATGGATAGATGGCAGTATGGAGATTATGCACGTCTTTTTTTTTTCTTCCTATGTTGAAAATTCTGGTTGCTATGGCAACAAATAGTCTGAAAATATGGCAAATTTAACACATAAACTGGATCCAGTGATAACTCAAAAAGTACTGAAAATATTTTTATGAAACTTGAAATATGGGTAGATGGCAGTCTGGAGATTATGCACATCTTTTTCTTTTCTTCCTATGTTGAAAATTCTGGTTGCTATGGCAACAAATAGCCTGAATTTCAAGATTTCTGATTTAAATTTTTCAGCTTTTTCACTATATGTTCTTTATTTCTTAAGGTGTTTACTTCAAACTTTAAATATAAGTTTCTGGTCATCAACCACATCATATGTGACAAGGTTTATAACTCTAGCACAAAAATATCAGTATTACCTCCCTTGAACTTAGATTTTTTAGGGGAAAAAATGTTGTCTTTTTTAAAATAACTTCTTTATTTCCTAATGTATCTACTTCAAACTTCATATATATGTTTCTTATTATCACTCGACATTTTTGAGAAGGTTAAATACTCTAGCAAGACTTTTCCAGAATTATGTCCCCCTTTAACTTAGATTTTTTAAATATTAACAAATAGTCTGAAAATATGGCAAATTTAACACATAAACTGGATCCAGTGATAACTCAAAAAGTACTGAAAATATTTTTATGAAACTTGAAATATGGGTAGATGGCAGTCTGGAGATTATGCACATCTTTTTCTTTTCTTCCTATGTTGAAAATTCTGGTTGCCATGGCAACAAATAGCCTGAATTTCAAGATTTCTGATTTAAATTTTTCAGCTTTTTCACTATATGTTCTTTATTTCTTAAGGTGTTTACTTCAAACTTTAAATTTAAGTTTCTGGTCATCAACCACATCATATGTGACAAGGTTTATAACTCTAGCACAAAAAATATCAGTATTACCTCCCTTGAACTTAGATTTTTAGGGGAAAAAATGTTGTCTTTTTTAAATAACTTCTTTATTTCCTAATGTATCTACTTCAAACTTCATATTATATGTTTCTTATTATCACTCGACATTTTTGAGAAGGTTAAATACTCTAGCAAGACTATTTCCAGAATTATGTCCCCCTTTTAACTTAGATTTTTTTCGAGAAACTGGTATTTTCACTCCAACTTCTTCATTCCTTATAGGATTTACTTTAAAATCCCACATCGTAATAATATGACAAGGTTGTATAAACATAATTTCCTTACTAAGCATGGAAACTTAACACATTACTGTGATATAGACAAACTTATTTTATTATGTTTTGTGGTTGATATTTTCAAATACAGACTTCATCCTCAAATTCATTATAAATGGCAATACACAGGAGTGTATGACAATTAAAGAACTTTTTGAGGGACCGGTAGGGGACTACTGTATTGCCCGCAATACTATCAAATGCTTGTTTTTCTCTGATTAATCTAGTAAAAGATTTCTTTAGTTGTAATGTATCAGTATGCATGTTACAGTATGATTATTGAAGAATAAGCATTCATGCATGAGATCCATATGTATGCTGGGCTAAATGTAGTTGTTTCAGATTAGTTCGTTGTTTTATTGAATTGATTGATGATTGCAAACCATGTCGACTGAATTATATGTATTTTTTGTATGATCATTGCTTAGTGTGATTTGAGAAAGAAGATAATGTGTTGATGATGGCTTTTATACATAGGATAAAATGTAAAAATGAGCCATGTATTAAAAAAAAAAATTGGAAAATAGTGTGTAATTGATTGAAAGCAATAAATTGTTAATTGCAGGAAATAATTAGAAAAACAAAAACAAAAAACATTATCAAACTGCTTAACCTGTCCTCTATTACAGCAAGAATAAAAAGTTTTTCTTTGGTAAACAAAAATCTGATTTGATCCAAAAATGGATTTTATTCTGAGGAAAATAGTTACTGACAACTTTGGAGTTTAATTTTTAGTTTTCTATTGAATTTTTATGTATTATGTCAAAACTTTTTGCAAGAGTAAAGTGAATTCTCGCTGGTAGATCAAATAAAATGAAGAAATATTTATTGAGGTAAAAAATGTCTACCGTTTACATTGTTTGTCAGTATAATGTATTTGATCATAATAACCAAGTATTAAAAGTTATTTCATGTTTAATGAAAGACAAGAATTTTTAATAACAGATTGATACAGAATTTAATAATTTTGAATACTCTTTAATTCCTTTACACTTTTGATATTTTTTGTTGATTATCAAATACTTGTAAAATTATGCTAGGTATGAATGTTGAATATATGTACTTATTGTATACACATGTTTATATTGTTTAGCAAGTTGTTGATATACCATTTAGGAATTTATCCATTTGATAAAAGATCTTTCATCTGAATTTACATTATATCATTATAAGTTATATATTGGCCCAGAATGGTTGACTAAAATTTTCTTTGCTTTTTGGCCAAAAATTGATTTGACATAATACTTTTTACAGTTTGGTTTGAAGGATGTTGAAATGAGGGAATTTACTCTTCAAACAGATAGGAATTAACTAATGGAAGCTGTTTTGAGAGAGATTCTGATCTGTAAACCACTATAACAAAGATTCTATATGTAGTTTTAAATTATAGATTGTAAATCCTTTACTGAAATTTTATAAAAATATGATGTATATGATAATTATTTGGTCATATTTTATTAGATTATTAAAAAAGTCTGTTCATTTATGTTTCATTGTAATTAACCATCTAGATGTGCATGTTGTGAAATGAAAATTATTGCTCAAAACACCTATCGTAATTTCCTTCAAAAATATAGTGCCTTCCTTTATCCAAGAACTAGGTTTTTAATGTGCTAACATTGCTTTCATGTGTATTTAGATATTTACAAATGTTTTATATGTATGTATAATATGTAATATTTTGAGAATTCTATCATGTATTTTAGAGATTTAAATCATTTCATTTTCTGCAGCTTCATCTATACATCAGTGAAAATATTTCATTTTAGTCTTAGTAAAATAAATATGGTGCTTAATACAGTACATGTAGCTTATTTCTGTTGTTTTTTTCCATGAGAATGCATCTTAAATGATGGTTTTATTCTTTAATTAAGGAAGTGAATAAAATATTTGGTACATTTTAAAAACACTTGTATGTACATGATTGTAAATTGTTGGAATTTTCTTTTATTTGGTGAATTATATACACGTAAAAGCACCTGTATACATTATTGTAAATTTTTGAGACCAAGTAATGCTTATTGAATGTGAGTATCCTTAATTATTGAAAAAGTATTGTACAAGTAATTTGTATAGAGATTTTTGAAGATAGAGATGAAAATAAAATTTAGATACTCTTGTAAAATGTTTCTTTGTACAAAAGTGCTAATCTTTATTCTAGTAACAATAAAAGAAATCGAATATTGATGTTGTTTGTTTTTGTCGAACTTTTTGTTTTATATATGGGACAGCTGTAGAGATGTTGCCCATCATCCCCATAAAGTGTCCACTTTTTACTTATTTTCAGTCTACACCATGTAATAAATTTGTTTAAAATATGGAGAATTCTAATTTATTTCAAAATCCTTCGCTACAATGTGCTTGACTGGAAACAAATGAAACTGGACAATCTCTAAAATAAATGGGGCACTGGATTTTAACCACAATGTAGGGAAACGATGCTTTGGTGGCCTTCTACAAGAGTAATATAAATGATTCTTGCCCGATGCAGAAGTAGGTTACAAGGTGTAAAATTAACACTCTAAATGTATATTTTACTCTTTCTTGTATTTTTAGCTCACCTGTCACAAAGTGACAGGGTGAGCTTTTGTGATCGCTTTTTGGCCCTGCCCCGGGGGTCATTGATTTTCCTTATTTGTGTATAGCAAAAACTTGAAAATCTTCTTTGAAAAAACCCAAATAGCTAGAGTTTAGATATATTATATATTAAGCATGAAACATCTTTTAGTAAATATCTACAAAGTTTGTTCAAATAAAAGCCCAGGGGTCAAAACTGGCCCTGCCCCAGGGGTGTCATTGTTTTTAACTATATGTGTATAGTAAAAACTTTAAAAAAACTTCTTTTAAAACACCCAATGAGCTAGAACTTAGATATTTAACATCTTATGGGTGTCTACCAAGTCTGTTCAAATAAAAGCCTTTGGGTTAAAATTGGCCCGGGGGGGGGAGAGGGTAGACTATATACAGGTGAGCGACCTCAGGGCCATCATGGCCCTCTTGTTTAATTTGCGTATTTCGAAAAGTGCCATCATACTGTTATGATGCTAGTCCATAGTGCGTATGTCACCTTCTTTGTCCGAGTAGATAACTGTTTTGGCCAACAGTTCTAAATGGCTAATTGATTACCACTAAGATTTGGTTTTGACGAGATGACCGCATTTGAAGTCTCCTAGCCTTGACCACTTAGTTTGTTCGACCAGTAACTGAAAAGCACACTGCCTACAGTCTTTTGAAGGTCTCTGTTGCCCTCACCATTTAAAGTTGTCCGACCTGTAATTAGAGACGGTCCTTGTATTTGATGTGAACGAACTACGAGATGATTCCTTGTGTCATCAAGGTCGAAGAAATATATGAAGGCTTTTGAAACTTACTAGATTCAATTCCATATAATACATATGACTTCCCTCATGAGTAATGCAGCCATCGTTATTCCCAGTGTGAACGTAAATTGGCAACTGAATGTGAGTGAGTCTAAGTGGCCTATTGACGTATTTTAGTTATATAAGTTGCTATTGCATGCAGTGAAATAATCCATGTTTAGAAATCGACTAAAGAGTAAAAAAAACAAACACGGAAGCAAAAAATTTTGATGGCACCTAGCTATAGATATTTTTAAAAGTTAAAAAGAACTTCCTTTCAAAATTATTAAAAATAGATATGCTTAGATGGCACTTTATCTCGGTAGCACCTATTGCTATATTTAAAAAGTTTTATTATGCCCCCGCCATATAATGGTCGGGGCATATAGTGTTACCCTGTTCTGTCATTCCGCCATAATCAGTTTCCGTTCATTATCTTAGTAACGGTTGCAGACATTCAACTCAAATTTGACATATGGATATGTCGTGAGAAAATACAGGTCAAGTTCGAATATGGTCATGGTTTGATGATTTTTGGCAGAGTTATGCCCCTTTTACTTTGAAAATAATATGAAATTTTTCAGTTTCCGTTCATTATCTCCCCAACGGTACAACAGATTCAACTCAAACTTGACATATGGATATGTCATGAGAAAATACAGGTCAAGTTCGAATTTGGTCATGGTTCGATGATTTTTGGCAGATTTATGCCCCTTTTACTTTGAAATTAATATGAAATTTTCAGTTTCCGTTCATTATCTCCCCAACGGTACAACAGATTCAACTCAACTTTGACATAAAGATACTTCAAAGAAATGCACAGGTCAAGTTCGAATTTGGTCATGGTTCAATGATTTTTTTGGCAGAGTTATGCCCCTTTTACTTTGAAAATAATATGAAATTTTCAGTTTTTGTTCATTATCTCCCCAACAGTATTATACATTCAACTCAAATTTGACATATGGATATGTCAATGGAATGCGCAGACCGAGTTCAAATTTGGTCATGGTTGAAAATAGTATGAAATTTACAGTAAATTTACAGTTTCTGTTATTATCTCCCCAACAGTGTTACATATTCAACTCAAAATTGACATATTGATATGTCAAAGGAATGCGCAGGTAAAGTTGGAATTTGGTCATGGTTCGATGATTTTTTTGGCAAGAGTTGTGTCCCTTTCACTTTATAGTTCGCATTCATTATCTCCCCAACAATTGTACATTATCATTCAACTCAATTTAAAGATTTGGATTTGTCATAAGAATGCATTGGTCAATTTCGAATTTTGTCAATTTTGTCATGGTTTGATGATAGCTGACAGAGTTATTCCTCTTAAACTTTGAAAAAAACAAACAAAAAAAACCCAGAAATTTTAAGTTTCCGTTCATTATCTCCTCAATGGTTGTACACATTCAACTCAAATTTAACATATAGATACATCTGAGGAATAAGCAGTTTAAGATTGAATTTGGTCGTGGTTCAATGATTTTGGACAAACTTATCCTTCCTGAATGTTGGAAAATTTTTGAATTTTCAGTTTCAGCTTTAATACTTTTGTGGAAATGTATGTAGCCATTATTTTGGCTACAAATATGTAATATGCAATTTACAAAAGGTTAAGACTGAATAATTTCTGTGCCTTCAACATTGTATAAAAATAGTTTGTGTTAACATTGAAAAGTTTTAAGGGCTTTGAACTTGAAATGAAAAAAATAATTTGTGCAAACAAATTTGTAACTACATTGTAAATATTATATAACATCTGAAATTTTGGCTGCATGCGGGGGCATCCGTGGCATGATACACATTTCTAGTTAAAATATATTTTCTTAGATTGTGGTGTCTCTCGTTAGCACCTATTGCTATATTAAAAGTAAAAGGGGCATCATTTGAAAATACATTTTCTCAGATTGCAGTGTGCCTCTCGGTAGCACCTATTGCTATATTTAAAAGTAAAGGGTATCATTTGAAAATACATTTTCTCAAATTGCAGTGTGCCTCTCGGTAGCACCTATTGCTATATTTAAAAGTAAAGGGTATCATTTGAAAATATATTTTCTCAGATTGCAGTGTGCCTCTCGGTAGCACCTATTGCTATATTTAAAAGTAAAGGGTATCATTTGAAAATACATTTTCTCAGATTGCAGTGTGCCTCTCGGTAGCACCTATTGCTATATTTAAAAGTAAAGGGTATCATTTGAAAATACATTTTCTCAGATTGCAGCGTGCCTCTCGGTAGCACCTATTGCTATATTTAAAAGTTAAGGGTATCATTTGAAAATACATTTTCTCAGATTGCAGTGTGCTATATCGGTAGCACCTATTGCTATATTTAAAAGTAAAGGGTATCCTTTGAAAATACATTTTCTCAGATTGCAGTGTGCCTCTCGGTAGCACCTATTGCTATATTTAAAAGTAAAGGGTATCATCTGAAAATATATTTTCTCAGATTGCAGTGTGTCTGTCTCGCGTCGTTATCCACAATACCTTAAAACAACATCTCCAGAAGTCTTGCCAGAACTTAGTTTACGTAGACTTATTTCGTAAAAATTGTCTTTAAACTACATGTACCATGTCCAGGGATATTTGGCATGAAGCATCACCTTTAGGTCATTTACAAAACTAACACACATCATCCCCGTGGTTAAAATTGATCCCGCACGAGGGGTCACTTAGTTTTCAAAAATGTTAGAAAGGAAATAGTTTAAAAAAATTCTTTTTTGAAAATGCAATGACCAGAGTTAAGATTTTTTACATGTAACATCATCTTGCGGTCCTGTAATTAAATTATGTAATCAATGCTCTTTGTTGGAAATGGCCCCGTCCTGGGTCAGTTAGTAGTTTTAAATAGACTAGTAAAAAATGTCTTAAAAACTACAATTTCCAGAGCATAGATGTTTGGTATGTAGCATCACTACTTGTGCAGAGGAGAGGAGATGGATGATAACTTGTCAGAGTTGTTATGATAACTGTCACGGAGTACCTGGAACACGTTACGGATTTTGTCGGAAAACTTTATTGTATACTGGAGAAACACTTGAAAATGATAATTTTTAACTTTAAATCGGGAGTTTGAGGTGCTAAATTTAACTTTGATGATTAAGATGTCCGAGTTCTTATGATAACTTTTGTTAATGCTAACTAGTGTGTTTACGGCACGTATTTAATTAGTCAATAAGTGAAGCGTATATAGTACGTTTATCATTTTCACAAACATTTGCTTATATAATGTTGCATGGTTTTTGGTGTATTTCAGTTCAAGAGGTATTTTCTTACCTCCGTGTCTTGTTTTTTTATTTTTATTTTATAAAACTTTTGCTTACACTGAAAAAAGGCTTGATGTACATAGAGCATTGAATTACAGGATAAGATATGCTTTGAATGCGCATGATGCCTTCGTGTATTTACATTATTCCTGTCAGTTTAAGAGAAAATTAAGTAACTATGCTATCGATCTGCAGAAACAAATTACTTGTAAATTTGCAGCAAACTATTAAGTAGTACAAAATGCATATATATGCAATACCTATATCGTATTACATGTTGCCATAGAGACGTAGGAAATTCTCTGACAACGATATGACAATACAAGTAAGTCTTAAGTAATAGATGTGAGTCACCATAAGGTTCATGCCATTGATCGACCTTGTTCCTCACTTTAGCATCATCTGACGTACATAAATCTCCATATTGTGGAAGATTATTGCATACATTTATCTTATCAAAGTTGGATTCAATATATTACAAGCCCGTCTACTTTAAACTGAATGAGCATAATTTACTTTAAAATACTTTTATAGTATATAATCCTAGTTGTGGAAACTCT